GCCTGTGTGTCCCTCCAGGCTGGGTGTCCACTGTGCTCAGTGTCCAACACTGTGAGGGCCCAAGGTGAGCAGGACCACAGGACAGAGGACACTGAAGTCAAGGACCACTTGGGGCTTTTGGCTACTGCTGACACCTGGTAAGACATTGGGAACCTGTTGAAGCCAGGATAAGGGATTTCTGGAGCCTTCCAGTGCTGACACAGCCATGAACAGAATGAGCATTTGGGGCATCAGAAGGAGGACACCTCAGGCTACCATAGTACCATCGATGTTTCTTTTCTTGGTTCCAAAGTTTCTCGTCCTCCTTCAGCCAACTTTCATTGCAAGAACCAAGGAAGTCAATCAGCTCACGGCCCAGCCAAGGAACCTCCCTTTGAGGGCAAAGACTCAGGCTCCAGGTGGTCAGAAAGAAGATTCTAGAGAAAGCCATAGGGCACAGCAGGCATGTGCTGGGTAGTGCAGAGGTTCAGGATTTAGGAGCCTCGTAAAAAAAAAAAAAAGTATTTAGGGACCAGAGTGATAGAACAGCAGGAAAGGTGCCTGCCTTACATATTACCAACCTGGGTTGGATCCCTGCCTTCTATATGGTCTCCAGAGCATCACCAGGAGTGACTCCTGAGAGTAGAGCCAGGAGCAACTCCTGAGCATCGCTGCGTGTGGCTCAAAAACAAACCAAGATGGGGGTATGGTGCCACCATCAGGTCAATTTGTACCTGTGAGGCGAGTGCATCAGCAGCCTGAGGGCACCGTCAGGCTTTCAGATACCCCAAAATTGCTGCTGTGCCTTTGGCCAGACCCCAAAAACTTGGGGTAAAGTTTACCAAGAAAGTAAATGGCCAAAAGTGAGATATGTGGGAGACACACCCACAAACCACCTCCGGCTCAGCTATATAATTGGAGGCATGGCCTCTCTGGTTCCTGATCGAACTGCTTAATGACCGTGATCCCAGAGACTCAGAAACAAATCTTGGAACCCAAAGGCTTTTGGCAGAAATGTGCCCTGTTCCTGCAGTAGGTTACTGGCTCTGGGCCACTCCAGGTGGGAATAGGTTTCGTGCCTTAGCCTGTTCCCCCTGGCGGCCTGGTGACTGCCATCCTCCAGAGGTCACTGGACAGTCAGGTTTGGGCCTACAGTGACGAGACACGCGGGGCCTCACCAGACAGGGTGGGGAATTGGCCCTTTCCTCCCCATCCCAGCAAGACCCCGAGTTGCAGCCTACAAATGGCCTATCTGGCTCCTGATCAAGCTAATTAATGGCCATGGTCCCAGAGACTAGGAAACAAATCTCAAAACCCAGCGGCATTTGGCAGAAATGCATCTGGACTGCATACAAGGTGGCCACCACTTCAGAGCTTCTCAGAAAGCCAGGTATGAGCCAGCAGTGACGGGGCAACTGCAGTCTCATGGGAAGGGGGGCAGTACCGGCTCGTCCTTCACACCCTACCGAGGTCACGAGTTGCCCCCCACGAGCTGCTCTCCAGCACAGCCATGACTCCAGAGGCAAAAGAACTTAATCCAGAGCCCGGCAGCTTGTGGCAGAAAAGTGAATGGACCATGCGTTAAACTATGGCGCCATGCCTCCCTGGGAGGGAAAGGGTGTTGCTCCCTTCCACCTTTTTCCCACCCAGAAGCAAGGTGGCTGCAGCCTCAGAGCTTATTGGAAAGCCAGGTATGAGCCGGCGGTGACGGGGCAACTGCAGTCTCATGAGAAGGGGGACGGTACTGGCTCGTCCTTCACACCCTACCGAGGTCACAAGTTGCCCCCCACAAGCGGCTCTCTGGCACAGCCATAACACCAGAAGCACAGAAACCAATCTTGTAATTATCTGGCTCTTTGCAGAAATCCAAAATCGCAAGGCCATTATTGTGGCCATGCGAGATTATATGATTCTCATAACCAGCTATAGAAAACAAAGTATTTCACAATGCCTTTTCAGCAATTCTGATTGTTGGGGGGAAATTCTAAACAATAATGGTGCATCTTTTGTCGAAATAATGAATGTAATCAATGTAGAGAATAGTTAAGTGGAAATTATCTGCCTCACAGGCATTGGGAGGGGTGGGGGGTATATTGGGGTTCTTGGTGGTGAAAAATGAGTACTGGTGAAGGGAGAGGTGTTTGATCATTGTGTGACCGAGACTTAAACCTGAGAGCTTAGTAACTTTTCCCACAGTGATTCAATAAATATAAGAAGAAAAAAATAAATAAAATTATGGAAAAAAAAACAAGAACGTACTTAGACAAAACTCATGCAACATCAAAGTGAGTAATCTTTTTTGCGTCAATGACATTCAGTCACTCTGCTTGACTCCAGACATTTCTGTTCTATGCTGGTGGAAAACACAAGATGGTCCTGAGAACAGTCACGTGGTTCATGGCCCCAAATGTGGGTCACTGAGGGGCCATGTGGGAGGTCTTCCCATGCTGTGCCCTGTGTCCTTCCTGACATGGTCAGTCTCTGCCCTCGTCCTCTCTGTGTGCCACTGTCTTGTGGCCTCACCTTTGGATGCGGTGGCGTCTGTTGGGGCCGGACTGCTCTGGGGTCGGGGCCTCTGCAGCTCTGGGGGGTTTTCAGGGTGATCCTGGGTCACCCGACTCTGCACAAACTTCTGACAACCTGCCAAACAGCTTTCCATCTCAGCTGCAGTGTCCAGGCATCGGCCCCAATTTTTATGCATCCTCACCACTGCCTCTTGTCCCAACACCTTTCTTAGTGGGCAACCCTATAGCTGAGAAGTGCTCAGGCTTTGGGACTTGGCTTTGGGTACCACACTGGGTAACAGTGTGAGAACATTCTAGACAGAGAAGAGAAGGCAAGACTGGGACTGGGACCTGGACAGGGGGTCAGTTGTGGTCTCCCTGGGGACCCCAGGGACATCCATGTTGCTGCTACCGACAATTTTCTACAGAACCCTGGCTCCTTTCAGGGAAAATGACACTTATTCTTATAGATCTTGCTTTTGTAAATGATATTGCTTCTTGTCGATCACGAGATGTGCTTATTGCTATTAACATGTAACCGGGGGCTGGATTGATAGCACCAGGCCTCAGGCACCAGCTGCTTCAAATCCTTGGCACCACAAACAGTCCCCCAGGTTCTGCCAAGGGTCACTCCAGAGCACAGAGTCAGAAGCAGTTCATGAACACCGCTGTGTGTGTAAAAATAAGTAAATAAATTAATTTTAAAATGTTCTAAGTCATTTCGGTGCCACCAAGTGGGGAATGTGTTTCTCTATCTACGCACTGACACTCATCTTCTGCATAGACACAAAACATGGGCTGACACTGGCACCGTCAATTCCCACCTGAACTCACGGTCTCATTCTCTTCCTGTCCCTGTTGCTTCCTTTCAGTCACAGCCATGAGGATCTGGCTTCATCTTTGCTATGAGGCAGGTTGGGTGCATCCCCGCTATAGGCTGCCCTTCCCCACTCACGGCTGCCTCTCTTGCCCTCCCTTGCTCCCCATCTGTCCAAAGCACTGGCCACTCTCGCCAGGCTGTCCTCTTGCGTGGACCCCAACTGCCTCACGTGAGCTCCCCCTCCCCATAGGACCAACCTCCCACCCAACTGCGCTCCAGCTTAAGCCACTGTTTCCCCCTGCTCTGTCTCTGTCTGCCCCCGCAGTGAGTGACTGCCCACCTTGAAAACATTGAAAATGATCATTTGCCTTCATTTGTCGATCTGAATTATCCAGAAAGAGAAGGAAAGGCAAAGGAGAGAGAGACAGAGGAAGAAGGAAGGATGGAGGGGAAGGAAGGGAAGGAACAGAAAGAAATAGCAAAAAACTCTCACCTGCTGGGACCACCTCAGATCAATGAGAGCTTCAGCCCTGGGGCCCAACCACAGACTTACAAACCTTTCACGACTCAAGTTTATTATGTTTAAATTTGGGGAATTAAGGATGGAGCACAAAGAGGTAAGAGAAATTGGTATTGGCCTATATATATCAGGGAGATGTGATTTTTAAAATATCCAATTAAAATTTAAAAATGCATGTGTCTCAGGTAATTGTTACAAAATATGCGAGTATTGGGGCTAGAGTAATGGTACAATGGGGAGGGTGTTTGCTTCGCATGCAGCCCACCTGGGTTTGATCCCCAGTATCCCATAGGGTGCCCCAAGCACCACCAGAAATAATTCCTGAGTGTAGAGCCAGGAGTAACCCCTGAGCTTTGCCAGGCATGATCCAAACTGCTGGAAAAAAAATTTAAAGATGTAGAAGTAAGCTATAATTATATATTATAGCAGTGAAAAAAGTCTCAATGGATTATTCTCACTTATCTTAATACCAAGTTTGAGTTCTGAAAAAGGTTCCACCTAATGATGTGGATTAAAAACAGAATCATGGACACCTGCTGGTTCATTTCTGTGACTTCTCTCTAGTGGACACAGAAAATTCTAGAAAAAGATGTTTGCTGACTTGCTAAATATTCTACATAAAACCTGCTATCACTCCTACAGACAGAACAATATTTTTGTGTTCATCAATGGTTTACTGTGTCTGGCATATCGAATACGTCACGGGGAGCTTGCCAGGCCCTGCCGTGAAGAAATGGAGATGCTGGGGATCAAACCCGGGACCTCATGCATGCTAAGCATGCGCTCTACCACTGAGCTACATCCCCACTGCTGGGCTGGAGCAATAGCACAGCGGGTAGGGCGTTCGCCTTACAAGCGGCCAACGTGGTCGACCCGAGTTCGATTCCTCCGCCCCTCTCGGAGAGCCCAGCAAGCTACCGAGAGTATTTGATATGCCAGACACAGTAACAACAAAGTCTCCAATGGAGACGTTACTGGGCCCGCTCGAGCAAATCGACGATCAACGGGAGGGCCTTTACCTTTACCTTTTTATCAATGGTTTGTTTTGTTTTTATAATAACTCTTGTGTCATTTTTGCTGAGTCTCCTCCTTTAGATCACTTAGACCATGTGACTCTCAATAGACAGCCATGAGTGAACACAAGTGCTAATAGACCCACCAAGTGCAGTCAGCTAAGTCAGTTTCATTACTATGATTTATTTAAAAATTCAAATGGACACTCTTGTTCTGGGATGCGGGTTTCTGGAAGAACAAAGTGCCAAGTCAGGTTCCACTCACGATCCTTCATCTGGGCTCAATCTTGAGAATGATGGGTTTCTCTGGTTGAATCAGTCCTTGTGTCCCTAATTTCACGGGAATCTGTAACAGTGAAACGATCAAAGGAGAACTGATGAAGGAAGCAACAAGAGCAAAACATTGAAGAAAAACATTGAAAACATTGAAAATGATCATTTGCCTTCATTTATATGTATTCTAAAACATATGTCAAGGTGGATGAATAAAAGTGTTAATCCATGCATCATTCAACAAAATATCTACTCAGCACCCATTCTGTTGTACTATAGGAAAAACTCACATTGGCTAGTAGTCATTCTTATTGAAATTTCGAACTAAAAGAAAATGCATGGGGCTGGAGCGATAGTACAGCGGGTAGGGCATTTGCCTTGCACGAAGCTAACCAGGGTTCTATTCCCAGCATCCCATATGGTCCCCCAAGCACTGCCAGGAGTAATTTCTGAGTGTATGAGTCAGGAGTAACCCCTGTGCATCATTGGGTGTGACCCAAGAAGCAATAAATAAATAAATATAAAAGAAAATGCATTTGGGCTAGAATGATAATACAGCAGGGAGGGCATTTGCCTGGCACAAGGCCAACCCAGGTTCGATCCCTGGCATCCCACCTGGTCCCCAAGCACCACCAGGAGCAATTCCTGAGTTTAAAACCAGGAGGAGTCCCTAAACATCACTGGGTGTGACCCAAAAAGCAAACAAGCAAACAAACAAAAAACCCAAAATGTTTATAATTTAGGCATTATGGCGACTTTAGTTTTAGGTACTTTTGTTCCTAGACATCTACCCTAGAACGTCATGATGCCAAACATGTGCTATGCTCCTGAGCTGAATCCGGCTCTGATGACAAAGCACTGTAAACCGCCACATAATCAGCTTTGTGGTGTTGGAAACTTGTAAGGTCATGATCCAGTTTTATGACCGGAAGATTCCTCAAAAACAATCTGTTTTCTAACAGCTCCTGAGGCTCAGATGTAGTATAAACACGGAACTTCTGGAGGCTTAAAATCAATGATAAAATAACTCCTTCAGGGTTTATGGGATAAAGCAGGGCCTTATTTAAAGCTCCTAAAAATAAGAGTTGGGTCTGGAACGATAGTACAGCAAGTAGGGTGCAGCCTTGCATGTGGTTGATCCGGATTTGATCCCCGGTATCCCATATGTCTCCCAAGCACCACCAGAAGTAATTTCTGAGCACAGAACCAGGAGTAACCCCGGAGCATCTCTGGGTGTGTCCCCAAAACAAAATAAATGAATAAAAATAAGTTAAAGACCTTCTTAGGAGGCTAGAAAACACACAAAGCCAAACTGGATGGTTTAATGACAGAGTTTTAAATTTGGTGGTACAAAAGATGCTGCCAGGCATCATGAACTGATGAAGAGGAGAGAATGGGGCTGAAGAATCAAACTAATGCTAGAAGGAGGAGAAGAGAATTCACAGTAGAGGATATTCCTGGCCTGTGGGAATCCTTCACACCTGGCAGAAATGCTTTATATCAATGTGGAGCTTTTAAGGTTAAACTGGGAAAATTATTTTTAAAAATATGAAATTACCTAGGGTTTTTTAATTTCAGATTTGGCAGGGGTGGGAGGCACAATAGGCCATGCTCAGGGGTCACTCCTGTCTCTGCACTCAAGAATTTCTCCTGGCAGTGTTTGGCAGGCCATATGGGATGTCAGGAATCGAACCCAGGTGAGTTGCATGCACAGTTAGCACCTTACCTGCTGTACTATCTCTCCGGCCCCTAGTTTCAGATTTTTAACAAGACTTTAGCCTCTGTTCAAGAGTTTCTGTAAGCTCTGGTGGAGAAGAAGATTCCTCACAAATCACAATATAGTGATTGCTGCCCCCTGTCTTTATGCAGAGCTGCTCTTCCTCCCAGAGAATTTGAAACTGAATTTAAAACTTGACTCAAGTTCCCAGGCTTGTGCATAATCGTGGCACACTAACCAAACAGATGCCAGATGATATACTTCAATTGGGCCTTTATGAAACCACAAAATAAGCACTTTAGTTCTACAGAGTCTGTTGATGATTCCAAATAAATTGGTTCACCGGTAGAATGTGCTTTTAAAGTAAAAATGATTATATCCATGTAAAAATGTATATATGTATACACATATCATTTAAAACTCTTAATAAATATTATTTATATTAGATAAGTAATATTATTTATATAAAAAATTCATTAACCTGTGTTTCTTTACAAGGTTTGAAGGTGAAGTTCTGCAGTGTTTTGATGAGAGCAAGTTTCATATTCACGAGAGCAAACCTCATGCCAATGCAGTTCCGGGGACCATTTCCAAAAGGCATGTAGACATAAGGATTGATTTTGTCCTTGTTCTCCTTACTGAACCTGATGGCAAATGTTGATGAAAATGTTAGTGAAATAAGAAACACACAAGAGCTCCGTGTTGGGGGTTCTCACTGAGATCCCTCAGTCAGTAGCACCCAGGAAACTTTTGAGGGTCACTCCTGAGACCCTCTCATGGCTGTTTTACTATGAAAACTGTAAACACCAGATCTGTTTACCACGACACTCAGGTCAGGATGCACCAAGCTGGCTGCCTTTGAGGAGGGGGGTAGCCAGGCTCTACCTTTCAGGACGGAACTCCTCAGGTTCTGTCCACAGTTCCGGGTCTTTATGAAGTACAAAGATGGGCATCATGACCACTGTGCCTTTGGGGATGAGCTGCCCATTGACCTCCACATCCTTCTTACAGACTCTCTCGAGTCGGCCAGCAATTGGATATAATCTGAGCGTTTCGTTCACCACCATGTCAAGGTATTCCATCTGAAGCAGGGCATCATAGGTGGGTGGTGCCTGGGAAGAAAGAGATTTGGAAACATGGGGTTCTGAGGTTAATTTTCACCCCATCTTTGTGATACTTTGAAAATGTTATATGGTTCCACTCACCTTATTGGGGAAAGTGGTATCAATCTCCTGCTGCAATTTCTGCTGGACGTCAGGGTGGATGGCCAGGCAATACATGAGGAATGAGAGAGTACTGCTGGTGGTCTCATAGCCAGCAAAGATAAAGATAATCGATTGGGCCACTAGCTCCATGTCAGTCAAAGCTAAAATTGGAACAAAAGCAGGTCATTGGAAAGCACCACTCTTTGAATGATGAGAATTCCAAATGCAACTCCCAGGTAAGTCTACAACAGTACCTCATGGTGTTTCACTAAAAAATTTTAAAAAAAGAAAAGAAAACTGCTATGTTTTTATTAGACAAAATAAAGAATATAACACAGATAAGAAAGTTTATAAAAATAAGTAATGGAAAAATCAACTCAAACAGCAGTGATGTGTCCTCTGATATCTATCTTAAATCAGAAGTGCTCAAAAATTGAATCTATGGGTCAGAATGATAGAACAGTGGGAAGAGCACTTGCTTTACAAGTAGCCAGCCAGGGCTTGATCTCCGGCATCCCACGTGGCCCCTTAGCCCACCAGGAGTGACCCCTGAGTGCAGAGCCAGGGGTAAGCCCTGAGCACTACTGGGCATGGATCCCAAACCAAAACAAAACAAAATTTGTCTGGATCCAGTTTCCTCTTCTCTCCTCCTCAGTCCTCCATGAATATGTAGGGCTCAGGGGTATAGGAGAATTCTCTGGACCTCCCATTCAATTTTGCTCTGAATCTAGAAGCATTGTAAAAAAATAGAGACCATGAAAAATATTTTAAACTGAGGCCAGAGAGATAGTACAGAGGGTAAGGCACTTCCCTTACACATAGCTGATCAGAGTTTTACCCCTAGCATTCCATATTTTCCCTTGAGCATTGCCAGAAGTAATTCCTGAGTGCAGAGATGGGAGTAACCCCCAACCATCACCCATGTGGCCCTAAACAAAAAATTTAAAGAAGGCCAACACAGGAGTCTTTGTTGCATGTTCAGTTGTGATGAGGGCCCTGATACAAATTGATAATTTGAACATCAAAATTAAGCCAGAGAATCAATGATGGACAGAGATCACTCGGATACACATGACTAAGGCAACAGAGGACCAAAACCCTCCTGTCCTTTACCACCAACACCCCAGGTGAAGCAATGGTGAACACCCCTAGAGAATCAACCATTCACATACGCAGTCACAACCAAACATTCTAGGAATGATCAAACTGGTGAGGAGAAGTTTGAAGAGCACCAGAATATTGGCACAGTCTGAAAGGCATGCCCCCTCCACAAGTTCTTTATTAACTGCAAAGTGAGAGTGAAGTGCGGTTGTATTAATTAAAATTACACTTCATACTAGATTGGAACGGAAACACAATTTTAGCCAGGAGTCCTGAGTTAAGATCACCAACATGGGAAAAAACACATTCAGGTGTGATGTGGGCAAATTTACAGCCGGGTTCTGATTCACCACTTGAATCAGAAGCTTGAGAAGTGTCTGTGCACACGCACTCCCCTGAGCATCCCAGCATGCTCTACAGAACCACCTGACTTTGCTCCTGGCTCCTGTCCTTCAAGCCCAGACAGAGTCGTGTGTGCCCACTGCCACAACATACTCTGTCCACTGATTCTATATGAGTTGGCACCTTTGGATTGGCAGGAATGCATGTCTCCTAGAAAAGTTCAATACATTTGCAGAATCACATCCACCTCCTCCCCTCCCTGCAGAGGGCCCTGGGCACTCTCCTCACTTACCTTTGTGGGTTTCCACTTCCTTGGAATTCTGGGAGTTGAGCATCAGCTGAAGGAGATCCACCCGGTGCTGGAAGCATAAGGAGACACTTAGGGGAGAGAATTCAATAACAAACCTTTATCCTAGATACAGCTCTGTCCAGCCCAGAAGTCTGAGCAGCACTGCGGAGTTCACAGAGCAGAATACCAACAGTTTGCAGAGGTGGTGGGGAAGGTGCAGAAATTGGACATCTATGCAATCTGCCTTTAACACTATTGTGATTACTGAAAATATGACTTATGTTGTTTTATTTTTTTAAAAAAAACAGGGGCTGGAGCGATAGTACAGCGGGCAGGGCGTTTGCCTTGCATGCAGCCGACCTGGGTTCGATCCCCAGCATCCCTGGTCCCCTGAGCACCACTAGGAGTAATTCTTGAGTGCAAAGCCAGGAATAACCCCTGTGTATCACCGGGTGTGAACCAAAAAGCCAAAATAAACAAACAAATAAACAGTTCGTGGAGAAATCTGACCAATCCGTCCAGCTTCTTCTTTGGTTGTTTCTCTCCCAGTCCTCAGCTCTCTGGCTTGTCTACACAGACCCTTGGCCAAAGAGTAGCCCTCTACCCCCCCCCCACCCACCCCCCCCCCCCCCGTCATCGCTGCTCTCAAGATGAAGCCTGGACTCCAATCCCTCTCTCTCTCTAGGAGTTCACCACCAGCCTTGAGGTGAGACTCCCCATGTGCCCCTCCCTCTTGGAACCCCACCCCCTCCTCACTGCCATCCTGGGGTGGGCAGCCCTCCCTCCCTCTGCAGAGGGGCTCCTGCTGCCTCAGGCTCAGGAAGGCCAATCTGGGTGAGAAAACTCCTGCCCACACTGACCATCAGAGGTTTCACTAGAACACACCCTACCAGGCAGCCTAAGCCTTCCAAGGGACAACCGGTTAGATAAGAGACTTGGGGCCAGAGAGATGGCTCAATGGGCTGAACAGGTGCTTTGCAAGCAGGAGGCCTGGGATCTATTTCCAGCAACACATTCCCATGGGATTCCCAGGAGAAACCCCCAAGAACTGAATGGAAATAGCCCCTTAGCACTACTTGGTATGCTCCATCCCCCCCACAAAAAATAAAGAAAGGGGGGAAAGAGAATGACTTGAAATTGAGATATTTATATATCTAAAGAGCTGAAATAATTAGAATACCAGGAAAATAATTTGGAGCAGTAATTTTTGTCCTTAATTCATTTTTTTCAAGGGAGATGATAAGATTTTGAATAAAAAATATCAATGTGATGACGTATTAATTGCATGCCCATTACTAGATTTTTACCATCATCTCTGACTCCATTTCTATGTTTCTTTAATGTCCCTTTTCTTCATTTCTCCCCAATGATAGCACTCCCTGAATACTCACAGTCTCTCCCTACTCAGAAACACTAAAGAGAAGTGCACAAGTCACTAAGCTCAGTTTACAATTCAACAATTTAGCAAGAAAGTGAACAGTCTCGTAAAAACACGCACAGATCTTACCTTCTCTTTATCTTTGAGACGATTTTCTTTCATCCTTTCTATAGATTTTTTGAAAAACGTAGTGACACCACTTGGAAACAGAGAGATGTCTGCTAGTTCACATAATGGTGTGAGGAATGGGAATAGTGCTGTAAAGAAAAGAGGGGAAGGAAAGCCCAATGAAGACATGAAATCGCACAGGAACAACAGCCATATTTTCTATCAATCAGAAGAGTGGCAAAATCACACAGAAGGCTCATCACAAGAGCAGTAAACTGATTCCTTGGAGTAACCAAAGAAATAATTAAATGGCTTGATTTTGTAGCCATTTTTCAATTGACTAGGATGTCTTCTATACCAGACCATAACCTGTGACTTTAATTAACCATGTTGTCAAAAAAACAGTCGTCAGTGAATTGGAGAGGTGCTCAGTGGGCAGAGCTCATACTTTGCATGCAAGGCGTGGGTTCCATCCTCAGCACCACACAGTTCCCTCAGCACCACAGAGAGAAACCCCTGAGCACTAAAAAGCAAACAACCCTTATGCACCACCAAACATGGCACCAAACCAGAACAAAGCAAGAGTAGCCAGGATAAAAACAAGAATGTGTATGTCCCTCGACCACAATGAACTAAAATTAGCAATCAATAATATGGAAAGTCACAATAAGTTAGAATTTGAAAACACACTCCCAGGCAAGAAATTGAAAGGAGGTTAATTGAAATTGAAAGGACAGTAGATACAAGGGCCAGGAGGATTGCCCCATAACTGGAAGCCTGCATCATGAGCGGAGGGGAGAAGGCAGATGGAACAGAGAAGGCATCACTAAGAAAATGATGGCTGGAGGAATCAGTCGGGATGGGAGATGTGTGCCAAAAGTAGACAATGGACCAAACATAATGATCTCTCAGTGTCTGTATTGCAAACCATAATACCCCAAAGTAGAGAGTATGGGGAATATTGTCTGCCATGGAAGCAGGGGGAGGGTGAGGAAGAGGGGTATACTGGGGATATTGGTGGTGGGGAATGTGCACTGATGGAGGGATGGGTGTTTGATTATTGTGTGATTGTAACCCAAACATGAAAGCTTGTAACTTTCTCACGGTGATTCAATAAAATTTAAAAATAAAATAATAAATAAATAAGAAAGGAGGTCTGGGGCCAGAGTGATAGTACAGCGGGGAGGGCGTTTGCACACGATCAAACCCGGGTCTGATCCCCGGAATCACATATAGACCCCCAAGCACCGCCCGGAATGATTCCTGAATGCAGTGCCAAGAGAAAACCCTGAGCATCACCATGTGTGACCAGAAAAAGAAATTTTCTCAACAGATTAAGAATGACTAAGATTTCCTCAACCTGGCAAAGGCCATCTATGAGGGAAGGAAGGGGGAGAGGGAGGGAGGAGGAAAAGGGAAGAAGGAATAAGTTAAGGACAAAGGAAAGACTTTTAAAAATAGTAGCAGACATACTCATTAAGAGCAGGAATGGGTCGAGGAAATTAAATCTCAAGAGCTTCTTGATATTTTCCACAAAGGGATCCTTAGGGTTGTTGAGGGAATCCACGTTTACTCCAAATGACGTGCTGGTGATCACATCCATGCTATAGGCCCCAAATACGCTGAGAGGAGAGGGGGAAAAAAACCAGGGGACATGAAATGAATTCCTCTCTGTGTCCATATCCAATATGTTCAGCAAGATTCAATTGTGTGTGAATTCCCATGCCCAATAAGACAGGTGAAGTGTCACAACTGTCAAAACCACCTGCTGCAATGTCACCCCACACTCACAGATGCTTATCCGGCCAGGAAGCAACTGGCTCAAAATCAAATCCAACCCAATTTTCTGTTAAAGGATGAAGACCCCCATTCACAGTTTGCCTGGACCAATGCCAGCACTGGACATCAGAGCCCCAGAGTGGAGTAGGGAAGCGGGGAAATCAGGCCTCTTCCTAGGGGTGTCCACTAGCCATCCCAGTCTATGCTCACGGCAGGTTCTTCCGCAGCCACATCCCTACTTACTCTTTCAAGTTCACAAACGTCCCCTGATCTGCATCCTTCCTCAGATTCGTCACCAATACATCTCCATACTGGGCAATGATGGGGAACATCTGCACAAAATACAACCACCAAATTAAAGGCAGAGACTCAAGGATGGTTCCCACAACTAGAGTACGTGTCCCCTGGAATGTCAATCTTACAGTGTTTCTTTGGGATACAAAGATAAAAGGACGTCAGATTCAGAAGAATACACCCAGGAAAGGAAACTATGACCTTATCTCCTACTGCTCCTACAGTCACGTCTGAATTTTTAATTAAAATTCCTTTAATTTCCTTGGTTCTTACCTCTTTGAGCTTTCCACTGGTGAAGGTTGGAGACAGCAATGACCGTATTCTCTTCCACTGCTCATCCTCAGACACAGAGACAGCATCTTTCATAAATCCCATAGGACCTATGGACTAGAGTCCAAATAAAAACCATTTTTCCTACATCAATATTTAAGGTCTCTGGGGCTGGAGCGATAGCACAGTGGGTACGGCGTTTGCCTTGCATGCAGCCGACCTGGGTTCGATTCCCAGCAGCCCATATGGTTCCCTGAGCACTGCCAGGAGTAATTCCTGAGTGCAGAGCCAGGAATAACCCCTGTGCATCGCCTGGTGTGACCCAAAAATAAAAAAAATATATTGAAGGTCTCAATAGACTTTGAACAATTGTCAAATCACTATCAGTCATTCAACGGATAATTGGTGATGCTCTACATATGTTCAGGTCTTTTTCTCAAAGCTTAATAGCTATTCTAAATATTTGTTTCTTAAACTTAGGGTGAAAAATACACAAGACACATTTCTAGCATCCTTTAAAATGACAGGGCCTGGCTCCTCTCTGGAAAGAAAGATGGCGGCCGCACGGGAGCCTTGTGGAAAGCAGGTTTGAGCCGGGCTCGGGGGAGCGGCGGGGACCTCATGGGAAGGGGGGCTTTGTGGGCCGTCCCCCACGCCCCACCGAGGTCGCCAGCTGCCCCCCACGAGCGGCTCTCCCGCACGGCCACGTCTCCAGGGCACAGAAACCAATCTCTTAACTAGCTAACTTTTAATAGAAATTCTTCCAGGGTCAATAAGTAAAATAGCAGAAATTCAAAACCGCGCGGACGCTATTGCGTCCGCGCAACATCATTTTATTCTTAAACCAAGTTGTAGAAAGCAAATCATTTCACAACGCTGTTTCAGCATGTCTGATTGGGGGGGGGGGTCGTAAACTCTAAACAATAATTGTGCATCTTCTATCGAAATAATCTATCTAGTCAAAGTAGATAGAGTATTAACTAGAACTCATCTGCCTCACAAAGAATTGGGAGGGGTGGGAGGTGGGGGTCTATTGGGGTTCGGGGTTAAAAATGAGTATTGGTAAAGGGAAATGTGTTCGGTATCTACATGACTGAGACCTAAACCCGAAAGCTCTGTAACTTTTCCCACAGTGATTCAATAAATAAATAAATTATAAAAAAAAAATGACAGGGCCTTTGGATTCAGAGCTATAGTACAGTGGATAGGGCACCAGACCTAGTTTCAATTCCCAGCACCTCATATGGACCCCTGATCACACCGCCAGGAGTGATCCCTGAGAGCAGAGCCCTGATCACCACCATGTGTGACACAAAACCCAAAACTGGGCTCATAAAATAAAATGACGGGGCTTGATAGTTTAGGCCTTAAAAGGCTTGCATGCTACTGACTCCACAAGCACTGCCACGAATGATCCCTGGGCACCATGAGGTGTGATCTCCAAAACCAAAATAATAACAATAGTAAGAGTAGAAATATGATGGTCCATATGACAAGGTGTTAGTTGTCAAAGATTGATGCATATCTATGCCCATCACAGGCAGTGCTTAATATGGCAAACAAAAAAATTTATTGTTTTGTTTTGGGAACACAGCCAGCCATGCTCAGGTGTTACTCCTGCCTCTGCGGAAGACCACATGGGATGCCAGGGATGGAACTTAGGTCAGCCATGTGCATGCAGCTATAAGAAAAGATGAAATCATGCAACTTGCTTCAAAGTGCTCAGAATTGGAGCCATTTAAGCAAACAAGTCAGAAGAAGAGGGACAGATACCCCATGGCCTTCCTCATCTGTAGTATGTAGAAAAATAAATGGACAGCACCAAGCAATAACAAACCCTTGGCCTTGGACACAAAGCAGAGGATTCCTAACAGAAGACAGGGGAGGATACGGGTAACTAGAAATTATACTGAGACATGGGTCAAGGGTCTTGGGCACTCTGGTGTTGGTGAAGTATGATAACTGTTAACATCAAAATCATAAATGTTATGGGGGGCAGGAATGATAGGACAGCGAGTAGGGTGCTTTCACGTGGACAACCCAGGAGTAATTCCTGAGTGCAAAGCCGGGTGTGGGATAAAGACACCCCAAAAATACTAATCATAAACTTTTATACTATTGTCAACATGTTATATAAACTATAATAATAAAAACAAATAAATTAAATAGTCTGACAAATAAATTAAACTGTCCCACGGTCAGTATCCTGCTTGAATAGTGAACTGCAGTTATTAGCAAGAGGTTATTAGCATTGGGTGAATTAAGGGTACATGACCTGGAACAAGAAGCCATCTGCGGGGTAACTTCCTGTGGTTCTCTAAGCATGTCAAAACTATACATTTAGTCAATAAATTAATGGGGACAGGGAGCATGCTTACCCGCCGGTTTGTGAAGAGAGAATAACATTCTTTCACTAGGATCGTCTTGATCATGTCTGGGTCAGTAACAGCCAACACGGGCTGTCTACCATCATAAATCCTGTGGTGAAAAAAAAAACTGATTACACTTAACATGCCTGTTTCTCTAGCCTGAGCCCAACTCTCATCCTGAGTTCACAGAATCCAAATTGCTAATGATGTAGCTTAGAAAGAACTTTGGGGCTTTGCCAAATCTAGGATGTGCGTACATAAAAGTTTTACAGTGTTATGTGTGTACATACAGCCCCTGGCCAGGAATAACTCCTGAGCATTTCCGGGTGTGACCCATAAAACTAATATGTGTGCATGTGTGTCTATATATATATATATAATATATATTCCTATATGAATATATATATGTATTCCTTCCCTTGGAATTATTTTGATATGTAAATCTCTAGTGGCCTCAGGCTCTATACTGCTCACCTGGAAGTGAAGCCCCCTGTAAGTCACAAGCTGATACTTTATAGGTGATACCCTCATACCCCATCTCCTGCGTCAAAAAACCTGTTAATATATACAGCCACCAGCGTGTAGTGACAATGATCTTAATGACATAGACTTACATCTTATTTGCCTCTATAAATCATCTGCATGGGCTAGAACAAAATGAAAGGGTTTCACCTGCTCTTTCTGGCACATCCCATGGGACTGTCTCTGTGGGTCTATGACAGTTAGAGCTGAAAAGATTGACAATTGCTCCTGCCAATTTTACATCACTTGTGCCCCGTTGGAAAGTCTGACTGGTCTCTTTAGCTCCATAAACTCATCCTCGTCCTAGGATATTTTCACGACTTTGACAGACATTCTAGGTTTAGGGCTGTAGGCCCATGAATCTGCCTTTGTAACAAATTCTCCAGTAGATGAGAACTGTTATCCAAAGAGAGAACTGGAGTCCAGGATGAAAGAGTGATTCCATCCTTGCTGGTACGGGTGTGCCAGCTCAGCAGAGAGCCCTGAGGTTTCTAAGGTCTTGGGAATGAAGAGGGGTGGGGACATAGAAACTCCATCTGCTCTGAAGGTCATGACCCAGGACCCCTTTGCTAATCAGAGGCCACAGCCCTCTGGGTCAGGGCGGTGCCAAGTCAGCAACACTGTGTGATCATTAACGAAAGTCTTGACCTCAACTGTTCTTAAACATCCAGGTCCACAGAGAAGGAAAATACACCCGAGAAAATTAATTTCCAATTCCATTTGTGTGTCAACCCAGCCCTTTCCCAAAGGATATGGCAAATCCAAAGTTGAAATAAATTGAGGATCTGGGGTTTTCACTCAGCGTGGGAGCGGGTGTTTCTGATCACACGTTAGAAGGATGTGAGTCAGAGGGACTGGTGTGTTTAAGGGGACTGAGGAACGACAAACAGAGAAGAGGAGGAACAGAAGGCACCCACCGAAAATGACATTAGAGGCCCAGGCCGCCAATATGGGGAGCCCAGTGACAGCCTGTCACTCTGCCTCAAGACTGAGTAGGAGACTAGAGAGACAGTCCCAGGTGACCTGGAGCTCCCCAACAGTCTCCGCTCCTCTGCTCACGGGGTCTCAACCCCAGACACATTTCCAGAATACTCACCCCCACATCTTCCCATACTTCTGAAAACATTTCATGTCAAAGTCCCAAAAACCCTGTGACAAGAAACAAACTTGTATGAGTCGTGAAAAGCAGTGCTGTGCCCTGGCCTTTCCCTGCCAGGCTCCTGTCAGCCTTGTCTCCCCCCTGCAGGCCCGCCCAGCCCTGTCTGATGCCCACTAGCCTCAGGCTTTGCCCTCCATTACTTGATTTCCACTTGTGAACCTCTTGAAATAGCCCAGTGGCCCACAGGGGTCTATACAGCCCCTGGCCAGAAACACTTCTTAAAAGAATTGAGCCAGTCTGTAAAGAGAACAGGGCCAGCCCAGGGCAAGCAGCCCTGTAGCTCAAGGAGGCCCTTACTCAGAGGCATCTTGGGGGAAGCAGAGAACACAGGGGAGACGTTTGAGAGGGAGCACCAGTCAGTCTGGAATGTTCTGTGAATCTGTAGGTATCTGATGGCCTGCCTCCCCTCCACCTCCCATCTCCCTGTCAGACTTTGACTGCATTTGGAAATCCTAGCTTGTGGGCAGGAGTGCTAGGACAGTGCGTGAGGCATTGGCCTGGTGTGTGGCTGACCCCAGTTCAGTCTCAGCACCACACAAGCCCCGCCAGGAGTGAGCCTCTGAGTGCAGAGCTTGGGGCAAACCCTGGACCCACCCACGTGTGGCTCAAACACAGCTACAACAACAAAAAAAAGGTTTTCATCTGAAAAATTAAAATCCTCCTTTAGGATGGGAGAGATAGCTCAAGGTGCTGGGCACACACCTGGAATATAGGATATCCCGGTTTCATCCCCTGCACTGCCAGGAGTAACCCCTGAGCATTGAGCCTAGAGTAGCCTCTGAGCACTGCTGAATGTGGCTCTAAAACATAAAATTAATTAAAAGAATTGCCAAGCGGCGAAGGAGCCAAAGTCCACGGATGCGCATCGTCTTGTCACAGTGACCCTGGTCAACTCCTGAGCATAGCCCAGAGGCGCCTCCTTTGAAGGCAGAGAAGTGAGACTGAAAGATGATCCCATTCTCAGACCCCCAGAGGACCCGCAGGGGTGGGGCCTGCAAGGCCAGCAGTTCCGGGAAGTCCAGGACATGGTTACAGTCCTGCAGGGGCACTTGGGCTGCTGATGACTGAAATGCAAAGCACATGCTCCCCACGGAAGTCTGGGTGCAGTGGACAGTGGGGATCCAGGCCCTGGACCCACACTTCTCCCCAGCACTAAAGACAGGACGCCAAACCCAAGGCCACCGTTGGTGGCCGCAGAGGCTTTGAGGAAACTTGGCTAAGACACTGTTTCCAGAAAGCGTGACACCCCACAACTTCCTCCAGAGGGCACCTCTGACACGGGCTAAGCCAGGCCAGCAGCCCTGAGAACAGAAGAGGGAGCTCAAAGCACACTCACATGGCGGTAGGCCAGAACTGTTCCCAAAAAGGGCAGTGGTGTCGGTCCTGGAATTCCCAGCTTCTTAAAAGTTCTATGTGTGTAGGTCCCATATCTACAAGGGAAAGAGAAGGTGAATTGTGAAACTGGGCTGGTCAGTTGCCATCTGGGAGGTCAAGCGAAGGAGGTTCACATAGGCAACGAATGACTCCCACAACTCCAAAAGCAACAGTCAGGATCAATGATCTGCTCCGTTCCCGCCTCCACCAAGACGAACTTGGACAGTTGATGAAAGCAGCTGGAGGCTAGAGCGAATTTCTTATCGACAATTCTGAAGTTCAATTCCCAGGAGAGGTTTAGGCAGAAATTCTTCCAGAGAACTCAGTTGTATCTATTGGGGAATCTGACTTTTCTACCATTGCGGTCTCAGTCAAGGAACGGGGACTTGCTCCCAGTGGGTGGGGGGTTTTGTTTCTGAGAGTTCTTGAGAGCTGCCCAAGTCATCTCTGTTGACTCATGGACACCTGTGCTCTCCCCCACCCTTGGGCCCTGCTCCTTTTTTTTTTTTTATTAGTGAGACACCATGAGGTACAGATATAGACTTACAAATTTTGTGCTTGGGTTTCAGTTATACAATGATCAAGTACCCATCCTTCCACCAGTGTCCATTTCCCACCACCACGGATCCCAGTATCCCTCCCACCCCCACCCCACCCCCCCATCCCCTGTGGAAGGGCATTCCCCTCTGTTCTCTCTCTCCTTTTGGGTGTTGTGGTTTGCAAAAGAGGCATTGAGTGGCCATCATGTTTGGTCTATAGTCTACTTTCAGCATGCTTCTCCCATCCTGGGAGGATCCTCCCAACACCCTTTATTTGGTGCTCCCTTCTCTATCTGAGCTGCCTTTTCCCCTAGCATGTGTGGCTGGCCTCCAAGCCATGGCCTGCTCCTTTTTTTGCACAGACTGAAAACTGGGCTGAGACATCCTTGTACTGCTGGAAACGCGAGCACCTTTCCGCTCCACCCACATCTGTATTGGCAGCAGTGAGGCTGCTTTCAGCTGAAAAAGGAAGACGCACACTGTGGTGAAGGAACTCATGACTGAAGAATCTATTTCTGGAGTTTTCTTCCCTTCAGGTATGCAGCCCAGCTGACGCAGTGTTGGATACACAGAGCCCTGTAAGATGATCGCTCTGTTTTTTGGTTTTCTGCATCAAAACCCATTCAAGCTGTAACTTTCCATGTCTGTTCTGCCACTTCACCTCCTGGACCATCTGTGGAACATGGGGTCTGGATACCCACATGCCTTCCCACTCCTTTGTCTGAGAAGTGGCAGCGTGGAGGGAAAATGAAGGAGTCAGGCCCGACATGAGGCATGATTGTCAGGCCTGCAAGGCTGAGCCCATGGAGGCAAACTAGCAAAGACTTCTGAGAGCTGTGGGGTCCAGGAAGTGTTCAACAGGCCCCACGAGTGTGGGGCAGTGAGTATGACGGGGTCGACAGGTCCCAAGAGTGCTTGCAGCAAAAAGATAGGAGGTTTCTGATTCCCAGGCACTAGATACATGTACATGAAATTATAGAAGGAAACATGAACACTCGAGAGTTAAGTAGAGCCTCATTTTTCTTCCTTGGAGTTTAGTCTGTAAGTTGTTTCCAGTCCCAGAAAGTCTGTACAAATCCTGCCTATTTTGCAATAGGTGATCAAATCATGCTGAAAGCTGCCCCTAAGGATTCTGGCTTAGAGACACAGCAGGGCCACCTAGGCCAGGCTCTTTCTCCTGAACTACAGGGAGGCACATGACCACTGCCCACCTGGGCCAGCCCTGTGCCTTCCAGCCCCGCTCTCCATGAAGCAGTCAGTTCACTGTCTGATGCCATCGCCAAGGTCAAGCTTTGACACTTGGACTGTGTCTCAGAAACTCTCTGGAGATGCTCATAATTGAGCACTTGTTCCCAGGGGCAGACCCAGATGCCCTTGAGCTCATGTGACCCCACGCAAAGTCAGGGGGATGCTCTGGTTTCTGTCCATCCCCACCTGGGAGATTAAGGCTGCCTTGTGATCAGGGGGTCCCAATTCTCCCAGCGGATCTGAGCAGGGGCCTGTGTCGTGCCCCTCGTGGCTGCGCCTGTGCCTTCTGGGGCTCCAGGTGCTGTGTGTGGCCTGACCCTAGAGGACCAACCCCACCTAGACCACACAGTGTCACCGAGCCGGTCCCCATGCCCAGGGAGACCAGGACGGGTGGCATCTCTGGGTCCCACTGTGCAGAACCCTCCCTGCCCCCAGACCTGAGCACCTGGCCCCTGCTCTCCCTCACTCACCCATGCCGGGAGATCAGAGGGTCCTGCAGGCAGGTGCAATCAGAATCACGTCCACCATCTATGTCTAAGGCAGAGTCGCACCAGACTCCCATCCCAACTCTGTTCTAGAAGGTTCTGTCACCCACGCACCTGTGTGCTCTCAAATCTGACCAGCAGCCCTCTTTACCCTGCAGTAGGAAAGCCAGTCTGAGGCCAAATAGAATGAACCTAAACCATGTCAAACATTTGGAAACGTCATTCCTCAAAACCTCTGCTGCTACACTTCCCTCACCCCTGAACGGTTCTTTCAAACACTCAAAAGAACTTGATAATTTCTGTGTTCCTGTGCTCAGGATGTCCCCCTCCTAATGACCATGACATTAAAATCAAAGTCAAGGTGACACCCAGGGACATTCTGCAGCCACAGGTCAGGTCTCCAAAGCAGGACCTGCCTGGGGTCATTCTGCATGGCACTGTGGGAGAAAGGATTCTAACTCGCAATTGTTTCCCAGGGCCTGTGGCTTTGCAGCTGACCAGCCGATCCCATGGAGGGCATCAGTCTCTGCTGACCCGACCCTCCTGGGCATGCAAGGGACAGGGAGAGAAAGGGGAAGAGTCTCAACATTCCCCTCGTTTCCTTTACTCTGGAACTCTCACTCAGGGCCTGGTTGTGTGGTGAGTCTCTGTAGGGGTTCCCACAGAGGGGCACATGGAGAAGGCTGAGGCAAGTCTAAGGGAAGGAGGAGCGACGTCCTGTTCCCCTCCAGACTTGGTGCTCCCGTGTTCCCCGTGCTGGACAGCGCTGGGGAGGGGGGAGCACCCGAGTGACAATCTGGTGAAGGAGAAGAAAATAGGCTCCACATCTCCAGGATTCTCTTGCCTGCAGGACTCTCAGAGCTTGGGGGTGGTGGGGACCCCTCACAGCATGGGGCCAGGTGGTTTGAGTCTGCTGGATTCAACTGAGTCTTTGCTAGTTGCCATCAGACCAGCCCCAGAACAGAGGAACCTGTGCAAAGAGCCGCAGACAGAGGGGCCGGGTGTGGCCGGGGCTTCCACGCACCCCCACCATCTGCTTAGGCATTTCTCCTCCAGGACCCCCTTGCCCTCTCAAGCAGAGACAGGAAATGAGAGCTGACTAGCACCCTGAGTCCAGGGAGCCGGGGGAGCAACTGGGCCCACACTTACATGTAGAGGAGCACCAGGCTGGCAGCCAGCAGAAGCCACGTTTCCACGGAGAAGTTTGGGATGAGGTCCATGGTGGTTCCGTCTGCGGGCACTGTGCTACTGCTTTCCCTTTCCAGCTGTGCGGAGGGCCTGGGCTGGCCTGGCCTGTTCCCTCCAGCCCAGAATGATTCACCAGGCGAGATTTTATGAGCTGGGAAAGGGGCGGGACTCGGGCCGGCTGCCAGGGAAAGGCCACGTGCCCCAGGCTGGTCGGGAGAACCTCTGGCTGCTGTTGCAAATCAATAGTTAAACTATCTCAGGAATATTATCAGATAGCCCAAAGGTTAGAGAAACCCAGTAGCACTGGACTTAAATCTCTTCTAATCTGCCCTGTCTCCATTGCTGCCTGCCCTCCACAGTACTTGGAATCCTTCACCTAAGCCCTGTCTGCAGGCTACCAGGGGGCTCCTATGCATCCTTCAACACACAGCTCAGACAGAGGTCCTTGAAAATAAGCCCCTCCCTCTTCTGGGCAGCTGCTACCCCACCCCCACCTCCCTCTCTTTGTTCCTGTGCCTTTGTCCCCAGGCCCCATGGTTGGTTTCTACACCCAGTGCCCTTATCAGATAGTGACTTCTCAAGGGCACACTGGGCACTACCCACTGTTCAATGTCGAATACCTTGCAGAATGCTTCATGCCCAGAGCCTTCCAGAAAGGTGAGCGGAGTGTAAAGGGTATTTGCCTTGCACACAGCTAACCCAGGTTCAATCTCCCAGATGGTTTCTGAGCTCAGCCAGGAGTGATCCCTGAGTGCAGAGCAGGAGTAAGCCCTGAACACCACCAGGTGAGGAAGGGAAGGAAGGAAGGAAGGAAGGAAGGAAGGAAGGAAGGAAGGAAGGGGAAGGAAGGAAGGAAGGAAGGAAGGAAGGAAGGAAGGAAGGAAGGAAGGAAGGAAGGGAGGGAGAGAAAGAGAGAGAGAAGAAAGAAAGAAAGAAAGAAAGAAAGAAAGAAAGAGAGGGAGGGAGGGAGGGAGGGAGGGAAAGAAAAGAAGGAAGGAAGGAAGGGAGGGAGGGAGGGAGAGAAAGAGAGAGAGAAGAAAGAAAGAAAGAAAGAAAGAAAGAAAGAAAGAAAGAAAGAAAGAAAGGAAGGAAGGAAGGAAGGAAGGAAGGAAGAGACATGCACAAAGATGCCTCCAGAACCCACGCCAGACTGTCTCATCGAGGCAACTCAAAGTGGGGTGTATGAGTCCCCCTCCCCACCCCAACAGAGCCCGAGCAGCCGTAAACCTCCTGAACTCAATAGCCGCCATGCTCACAGCCGCTCTCCACAGGCTTGGAGGAGCCTCACACATGAGTGAATCTGCTGTAGAATTCCTGGAGCACATGGCCACGAGTCTACACCACTGATGTACCCCATCCACAGTGGATAGGGTTAAAAGTAGAAGGCAACACAACAATCTTCACACACTTTCCTCTATACAGAATTAACCATTTCCGTTCTGCTTTGGGGACACGGTTTGGGATTTGGAGTGGAACAGTCAAAATATGGTGGTGGGAAGGTGCAATGGTGGTGGGATTGGTGTTCGAATATTAAATGTAATAAACTATTGTGAATATTTTTATAAAAATAAAATAAATAATTTTTTAAAAAGAAAGAAAGGGAAGGGAGATAAAGAGAGAAAGAAAGAAAGAGAGGGAGGGAGAGAAAGAGAAAGAAAAAGAGAGAGAAAGAAAGAGAAGGAAAAAAGGAAGGAAGGAAGGAAGGAAGGAAGGAAGGAAGGAAGGAAGGAGAAAGAGAGAAGGAGAAAGAGAGAGGAACGGAGAGAGGAAGGAAGAAAGGAAGAAAGGAAGAAATAAAGAAGGAAGGAAGGAAGGAAGGAAGGAAGGAAGGAGGGAAGGAAGGAGAGAGAGAGAAAGAGAGAAAGGATTCCAAGAGTACACCCTGAGTCAGAAGCAAAAAACAATAACAAGAAAGATATGAGTTTCCTCTCTTGGACAAAAGGCACCTGAGCAGAAGTCCCCTGCATTGGATACTGGGGTCTTCTGTGGTTGGCAAGAAGTTGGTAAGCAGGAAGCCTGTGCCAGCATGAGCCAGCATGAACCCCCATGAGCCATGGGCACCTAATGGGAGAGACCCAGGACTCAGCCCCTGGAGAGCTACCACTGCATCATCATCCACATGACCATGTTGTGAGCTGGCTTCATTATACCTGAGAAATCACGGATTAAAAGAAAAACAAAGCCTGAAACGCTCTTAAAACTCAACAGAAACTAAAGACGCTTGGACCATGTTTGTGCACTTGCCCCTGTGGCCTCTCTCACTCTCAGCCTTTCTGCAGGAAGTGATCCTAGGCCCTGCCAATGCTTTCCATCCCAGCCATGAAAGTCCCAGAGACAACCTGACACTGGCCCGAGTTGTCCAATGTCTTATTGGTAAACAGGCCAGATCATCTCCCCCACCTCCTTCCTTTCACCTGGACTCTTGTCCCCCATCTACAAAGTTCTGCCATCATATTTATCTGGTGGCTTAAGGTTTGCTCCACTAACACTCGGGGCTCTGCCAGACTGTGGAATTCACAAGGCTCTCTGCTCACTGATGTGCGGATTCAGGTCACTCATGGGAATGTGATGTAGGACCGTGGGATGAGAACCATCAAGTTCTCTCCCTCCCTCAGGAGCAGTGCCCCAACAAAGAGACATGTAAGGCCTATTCTGAAATTGGGATCACAGGGCCCTCAGAGAGGGGGTCACAGACAGAAGTAACAACATGAATGCTGTTTGGGCAAGAGAAGCCACATGCAGAGCTCCAGAAAAAGTAGGCCCCCCAAATCCCAGCATTCTCATTCATGTCTGCTCACCTTGGCTGCCTTCCCAGGACAGGCTAATCCGCCCCCCAATCGCATCCCCTCAGTTTTCAGGGGGTACAAATAGGTTTGATGGCCCCACGTAGCTTCCTGAAGCCACCATGACAAGAATAGAGGCCGGGTGAGTGGTCTTCCTCTTCCTGGGGTTTGTCAGGGAAATCTGAGAATGTCACAGCAGAAGGGGTGAAATTCCAGTTCCTTGCTCATAGCATTCCCCACTGTAACCACCCCCCCCCAGTATCAGCCAGAACAAAGACAAACAAAGACAAAAAAAACTCTGGCCTCAACAAGGGTGGGGTGTGAGTCGTTTCCCAGAGAGGGACACAGAATCCTCCAAAGCAGGAAAGACCAGGGCTGCCATCTGATCGCCATTGTCCACTCGATTCTCTTACCTAACCCAAATCCTTACTTATGCTTCTGGAAACAAAACTCCAACAGGAACTAGCAAGCTTTCATCTTCTTCCAAAAAGCAATTCAACTTAGAGGATTTGGTAACAGTCTCACACACCTCCCCTCTGGCTCCAGTGCTGGGCCTGGACGGTCTGTGGACAGTCTCCCAAGGTAGACAGTCTTATCTCCCATTGGGAATAAAATGCAACCAGCAAGGGGCTTTGTTCCGAGAGGGTCGATCATCAGAAATCTGATCTCGCTGCCCCTTCTTTCCTCAGAAGGGAATGCTATACCAAGTCGCTTGCACACTTCATTGACCAAAGGTGTGAGGGAAGACGTCTATAGCTTGCCAAGACAATATGCCCAAGCCCAGCCTTTCACCAACTAATAGTCTAATGTCCATCCATGATGCGTTTCCCAACAGTGCTCCCAATGCTCAGGGTACAACCATGGTTGTGATGAAGACGCTATATAGGTTGAAGACAGAGACAAACAGATCACAGAGCACAATCAATTAAAGTCATTAAACAACTACGAGAAACTCAGTATCTCATCACCACCAGCTGGCTCATCTCTGGACTCTGTCTCCTTGATAATAGGGCAAAGTCGAGCCTGAAATTAATCACACTCGGGAGAGCACTAGCCTTCTGCATTAGTACAAGATGACACCGGCTTGTAACTAGCTTATCAGTCTTTCAGCTTAATGATGTCCTGGACTTCGATGATACTCAGGCATCACATTCAGTCGCAGACTAAGCCACAAGGTTCGGTTGGTTTGTTAGATGGTTGGTTAGGTGGCAATGAACTGACTGAGGAATTCTTAGTGGAGGGAGACCTGTTTAAGGGGACCAGTGATCAGGGACATAGGGATAGAGGGCCGCCATCTGTCTAAGAGTCTCATCTTTGTTTATGTAAGGGAATCTCTCCTGGCGCTGGGGGCAATCACCCTTGACTTCCACTGGTCGAGAGAATTGTTGCTGCTTGGGAGATACACTGTTGCCCTTGAAAAATTTGTGCACCAGGTTCAAATCTCAATGGTCAAAATCTTGAGTGTACGAAGTATAAAAGTGTGGAGGCCGGAGCAACACGCCACATAGGGCATTTGCTTTGCCTGCATCACACCTACGTTCTATCCCCAGCACCATCTATGGTCCTCCAAGTGCCAGGAGTGATCCCTGAGAACAGAGTCAGGTGTAAACCCTGAGCACCATCACCACCAGGTGTGGCCAAAATTAAGGAAGTGTTTTAAAAAAGGAGGGTGGGGGCTTGCTCTTCAAGCCCATGTTCTCCCTTGAACACATATCTTGCTTGCTTGTCTCTATGCTTTTTTCATTCTGGAGAAACCTGTATTCTCTGTTGAACACGTATTTTCTCTTTCTTTCTCCTCAACCAGTCAAGTCTTGTGGCTTGGTCTTTGACTGAATGTGATGCCTGAACATCATCAAAGTCCAGAACATCATTAAGCTGAAAGACTGATAAGCTGGTTATAAGCTGGTGCCATCTTGTACTAATGCAGAAGCCTAGTGCTCTCCTGAGTGTGACTAATATCAGTAAGAAAGTAAGTTTTATTCAATAAAAACTATCGTACGAGGAGGAGGAAGAGGAGGAGGAGGAAAGAGGAGGAGGAAGAGGAAGGAGGAAGGAGGAGGAAGAGGGAGAGGAAGCAGAAGCAGACGAAGAAGAAGAAGAAGAAGAAGAAGAAGAAGAAGAAGAAGAAGAAGAAGAAGAAGAAGAAGAAGAAGAAGAAGAAGAAGAAGAAGAAGAAGAAGAGAAGAAGGAGGAAGAGGAGGAGGAAGAAGAGTAAGAGAAGAAGAAGGAAGAGGAAGATGACAGAAGAGGAGGAGGAGGAGGAAGAGGAAGAAAAACGACGAAGAGGAGGAGGAGGAGGAGGAGGAGGAGGAGGAGGAGCAGGAGGAGCAGGAGCAGGAGCAG